CTCCCGTCGTGGTTCTTTCACAGCGCGAGGAGGTCTGGGTCGCCCGTAGCATCCGACTCCCTCGCCCCCCATGCGCCCCCTGCCCGGGCCGCGCCTCTGCGCGGGTGTCCCCGGCGCCTGGGCCCCCGGAGGCCTTCTGGCGGCTGCACCCCCCCCCCACGACTCACCTCTCCCTCCTCCCTCCTCCTCCCTCCTCCTCCCTCCTCCTCCTCCTCCTCTCCTCCCTCCTCCTCCCTCCCTTCCCTCCTCCTCCCTCCTCCTCCCTCCTCCCTCCTCTCCTCCTCCTTCCTCCCTCCTCCCTTCTCCTCCTCCCTCCCCTCCTCCCTCCTCTCCCTCCTCCTCCCTCCTCCTCCTCCCCTCTCCTCCCTCCTCCCTCCTCCTCCCTCCTCCCCTCCTCCTCCCTCCTCCCTCCACCACCTCTCCTGGCGCCCCCTCTCGCTTTCGCTGCTCGCCCCGCCCACCCTCTCTTTCGCCGCCTTCGCCGGCTCCCTCCCCGGACCTCCAAGCCCAATGGCGCGTGCCTCACGGGTGCCTCCTTCCCCTGGTGATTCGGGTGTGGACTGAGAGGTGGCCGCCTCCTTCCCACGACTGCGAGGCCACGGCACCCGCGAAAACACCTCGCGCGCTCCCGGAGAGGCTCGGGCTGGCACGGACGGAGCAGACACATTTGGCTCGTGGAGGGATTCCCGCCGAACGAGCCCAAACCAAAGAACGTGTGACGGAGCAGGCGGTTTCTGCAGAAGTGATGGCGGCGAGGTGCCTATTGGGATCAGTGGTGGGAGGAACAGTATCTGCACATGTTCTTTCAACATATGTGCCGCAGACGAACAGTCCTCCTCCTCCTCATCCTCCTCCTCCACCTCCTCCTCCTCCTCCTCCTCCTCTCCTCCTCAACCTCGTCCTCCTCCTCCTCAACCTCCTCCTCCTCCTCATCATCATCATAATCATCATCATAATCATCATCATTACCATCATCGTCATGATCATCATCAGCATCATCATCCTCATCATCAGTATCATCATCACCATCATCATCATCAACATCACAAGCACGATGATCATTATCCTCATCAGCATCACCATCCGCTTCATCATCACCATCATCGTCTTCGTCATCATCATCATCAGCATCATAAGTTGCATCATCATCACTATCTGCATCAGCATCACCATCATAATCATTTTCATCATCATTATCTGCAACATCATCATCCTAATCACCACCACAATCATCACCATCACCATCATCATCATCAGTATCACCATCACCATCACCATCATCATCACCATCCTCGATGGCATCATCATGAGGATTATCGTCCTCCCCATTGTCACCATCAGCAACCGCATTATAGGCAGCATCATCACAATCATCAGCATCGACATGATCATCACCATCAGCATCATCATCCTCAGTATCTGTACTATCATCATCACCAGCAACAGCAATACCCACATTAGCATCACCAACCTCATCCTCATCAGCATCATCATCATCATCCTCATCATCATCGTCACCATCATCATCATCATCAGCAGCAGCAGCATCGTCATCAGCATCATCATGGCCATCAGCATCACCATCATCATTATCATCATCAGCATCACCATCCTCAGCATCATCATCATCATCATCAGCATCATCAGTAACATCACCAACATCATTATACGAACCATCAACACCATCAACATCATCCGTATCATCAGTATCATCAACACCCGCATCATCATCTTCATCATCGCCGTTGTTATGATCATCCGGATCAGCATCATCACCATCATCATCATCATCATCATCATCATCATCATCATCATCATCATCATCGCTGTCATCATCAGCATCTTAATCATCGCCATCATAATCATCACCATAATCAGCATACTCCCCCATCCTCATCCTCCTCATCACCATCAGCATCACCATTATCCTCATCAGCATCATCATCATCAGCATTGTCATCATCGCGATCCTCGTCACAATCCTCCTCCTCATCATCATCATCATCAGCGGCATCATCATCATCATCATCATCAGCATCATCATCATCATCAACATCATCATAGTCATCAGCATTATCATCCTCATCCTCATCCTGACGCCCATCACCCATCTGTCAGAGCCCCGTGGAAGAAACAAAGGCAGCCTGCCAACACCAGCCTCTTGAAGCTCCAAATTTCAAATAGGAGCCCTACAAGCCCTGTGAGCATCCCATTCGAGTCGTACGTGATGCTCAGGAATCGCATGGGAACAGAATTGCAACCTGGGAATCCTCGCAACGGGGTCCGTCCAGGGTCCTGTCTGGGATGCGAGGCGAATCTCGGGGATCCTCCGGGAATGCGTTTCGCCTGTTCCAGAAATCACTGACCTACACAATGTCGACGTCACACCTTTACGTCCGCCGCCAGCGGACCCGCCGCTGTTTTACAGTGGAGGCCAGTGCTCAAGAAACCTTCCACAAGAAACCCAACCCTGAGATCCCAAGGCGTCCACTGGTTGTTGGTTTGGAAACGTCACGCGTTCCATCGCAAAACTATCGAAACACAAGAAACCCAGGGCACCCTGGTGGCAAACAGGGTGTTTTTTGGCATAAGCACCCGCTGTAGATGGATCCGAGAAGAGCACTGCAGGGCCAAGCTGGATGCAGCAGCATCTCCCCACTGGGTGACGCCGAAGCTGAACGCAAGAGGGCCCCATGCAGGGACACTGGCACTCGTGTGAGGGCGGGCGGGTCAGAGAAAAGAAGTGCGGTGCCCCAACGCCTCCTCCTCCTCCTCCTCCTCCTCCTCCTCCTCCGCCTGGTCCTAGTCGTCCTCCTCCATACTCCCCCCCCTCACTGCTTCTCCTCGCTCCCTCCCTCCCTCCGATTCCTCCAGCTCCTGGTCCTCCTCCTCCTCCACCTTCTCCCCATCGCTCCTCCTCATCACTCATCCTCATCGCTCCGCCTCGTCGCTCCTCCTCATATTCCTCCTTCCTCCTCCTCCTCCTCTTCCTCCGTCTCTTCCTATCCCCAGTGCGCTATTCGAGACACGCTTCAAGAAAATGCTAAAGTACCTGAGAGGGAGAAGGCACTTTACTCAAAACCGTCGTGAAGTGAGGTCAGGTGGTTGGAAGTGAAGCGGACGAGCAGGATGAAGGCAGAAAGGACGAGAAGCGGGTCAACCAAATGCCCTGAACCCTCCCAATCCATATTGTCACAGGCTGCCGACTATCCGTGCCAGCCCGAGAAATCAGGTCAGGCATCAAGGGCTGCAACCTCAGCGGGCAGAAGCGCAGGACAGGATTGCCTGATCTTCCAGACCAAATCTGAATTCTGGCCGATCTGCCAATCCCGATCGGTCAAGCTTACGCGCGGATCTGCAGTCGCGAAGAGGCTTGTTCCAATCGGGCGACCACTCTCGAACGTACCGCCAATGAACGCGACTGGATGTGCATTCTGACGGCGCAGGATGTGTAATGAACCCTGCGGCCAGACATCATGGTCACCCCGTTGCACTTTGAGGTCCTCGCAGAACCAACACCGTGAGGATGTGCCACATTCAGGCGAGAGGTGCTTCCATGGCGACAAGACACCCCCTTCCTGATTCGCGATCAGTGAATACATACTCCCGTTCCCCTCCCCAGCGCCCTGATCGCCCCCCTCAGCGGGTGGTTCCCGCTTGCACCCCTGCTCGCCCCTCAACAAGCCTACGACCTGTATGCGAGCCCTTTCAGACTGACCTGTTTGTCGTCGACGTTGCAAACTTCGCGGCCAGAAAGGAACACGGAGCTCATCGAGTGCGAAAGGGCGGAATGCTGCTCCAGACCAAGCGACGCGCGCGGTCTCCTGAAACTTGAACTCCCACTTGGGCGCGGCGCTCCCTGGGTCGCTCCAGAAAAATCGAAATCTAGATGTCGCATACTGCGCAAGGTTGTCCTGAACGTTGCGTTCCCGCTTGGGCGGCGCATGCTTCTCCTGCGACACAATCGCCAAAGGCAGTGCCGCGTGCGCGAACACTTTCCCCTCGGCCAGGTCGGTGCGCACACCGGTCACGATTCCAGTCCAGCGGTGTCGGCACTGACTGTTGGGATGGGGATTGGCGGTGCGCGCAGGGGAGGAAGGGGAGCGGCGAAGGCTTCTCAGAAGGAGGCTGCTTCTTCGAAAGCGATGGGCCTACATCTGTTGAGAAAGCCCGCGCTTTCTAAGAAGCAGGGGTGTTTCTATGCAGCCTTCCCCCTCCCCCTACCCCCCTCTGCGCGTGGCCGATGGGAAGGGGGGGCAGCGGGGGGCATTGGGCGGGGCGCGGTGTTTCGCGCGGACAGGCCAGCTTGACCCTACCCTACCGCCCCTTCCGGTCCCGCCCGTCCCTGTCGACACCCTCCACCCCGTGGCCACCCCACTCCTCCCCGCCCTCCTCCTCCTCCAGACCCTTAAAATGCAACTGTCCTGTCGATTCGCGGCGCCGAGTTTCCGAGAATGGTGGAGCGGTGGTATCCCAGCGTGGAAACGAATCCTTCTTAGGGGCCCGCGCGCCCGCCCGCCCGCGCCCAACTGTGGCAACGCCTGGAAGGGGGGGGGACAGGAATGCTACGTTGGGGTGCGAGACGAACTACTTGATTCTACTCGCCACGTGGCAGCGCAGCGTGTCGGAAGCATGCCACGCAGTCACTTGTCACGCGACATCGCCTGGAAGACGGAGACTAATGCAACGCCATGGCGCAGAGAAAAAGAGAGGGAGGGAAGGCGAGGCAGAGGGAAGAGAGAAGATGATAATGAGTAGCGTTGTAGTTCGAGAGACGCTGGGGTATATATATATATATATATATGCATAGAGAGAGAGAAAACAAAAAAACAGAGAGAGAGAGAGAGAGATTGCGAAAGAGAGCGAGAGCGAGAGCGAGAGGGGAGAGAGAGAAGAGGAGAGAGAGAGAAGAAGAGAGAGCGAGAAGAAATACATGAAGACAAGGGGGGGGGGGGGGAAGGAAAGCCAAGAGAGAGAGAGAGAAAGAGAAAGAGAGAGAGAGGTATACCAAAAAACGAGAGGCACAGGCAGAGGCAGAGGCAGGGTCGGGAAGGAGGGGGAACGGTAAGGATGAGGAGCCGAGGGAAGGCGCATCTTCAGAAAAGGAGCAAAGGGAGCAGGAGAAGCAGGAGGAGCGGGGATGAGGGATGGGGGAGGGAGTGATACAGGAGGAAGAACAGGGAGGGACATCAGAACGGAACAAGAGATGCTGGATGATGGAGAAGAGCAAGGGGGGAGGAGCGAGAAGCAAGGAATGGTGTACGCACGATAGAAGACGAAAGGGTGAGAATAATGATCAAGCGTGGAGGGGGGAGGGAGGAGCGAGCGTCCCTGGCGATGGTCTATCCCCGCCTATGGACGCCGCGGGCGCGCCTGCGCCGAGCCTCTCAGGCTCACGTTGAAGATGTCCAGGGAGCCGCTGGCGTTGGCAAAGGGGGAGGGAGGAGGAGGAGGAGGAGGAGGAGGAGGAGGAGGAAAAGGAGGAGGAGGAGGAGGAGGAGGAGGAGGAGGGTAGGAGGAGGAGGAGGATAGGAGGAGGAGGAGGAAGGGGGGGAGGCGATGGATAGGAGGAGGAGGAGGAGGAGGAGGATGAAGGAGGCGGAGGAGTAGAAGGATGGATGAGGGTCAGGGTGACAAGGAGCAGCCACGGGGAACAGGAGGAGGAGGAGGCGCAGCAGCAGCGGCAGGACGGAGGGGGGCGGTGGCCGAGGCCGCGGCAAGAGGAACGCCAGGTACGCCGCGAGCCAGGGAAGGTAGCCGCGCTGCCCCGAGGCCGCTGCCGGGGCAGAGGCTCGCGGGCCAGGTCTGCGAAGGCACGATGGGCGGGAGGAGGAGGAGGAGGAGGAGGAGGAGGAGGAGGAGGAGGAGGAGGAGGAGAAGGATGAGGAGGAGGAGGAGGAGGAGGAGGAGGAGGAGAAGGAGGAGGAGGAGGAGGAGGAGGGGGGAAGCGGGAGGAGACGATTACGGTCGGGGACTTGTGCTCAGCTCAAAAAGCGCGTTCGACTAGTCGCCGAAAATGGCCAGGATCAGCCGCGACGGAGTTACGATCCATGACATCGAGGCACACATGTATTTGTTTGCTACGTTTGCGAGAAGGCACTTTGCGATTAGTGGAACGCGCCCGGAGACTAGATTAGCGTGTCGCGGCGGCCAGCCTCGGCGACACGCCATGCCCTGGGAGCGGGTAGCACATCGCTCCGAACCGCGGGGCGGTGGACGGGGAGAAGCTCCGGAAGTTGACGATGGGCAGGAACATGGAGTTGGACAGCGTGTCGCGCCGAAACGTGGTGGGCCAGAACCAGCGGAGCGACACGCCATCCAAAGGTTCCTGAGCATACCAACTGGGCTGCTGATCTCGGCGGTGGGCCCCTGGCGCTCGCAGCAGTCCCCTTGCCTGCGTGGTGCGAAGCCGAGGGCTCTTGTTTGTGCCAGCGGCGAGAAGGGTGCTGCGACCTTTCTTGGGGGGGCCCACTCTGGGGCGGAAGCCCTGCGCATCGCCTGCGCATCTTCGTCTCAACCAGGGCACGAGAGGGGGGGGCAGAGAAGAGAAACGGGGGGGGAGACGGGAGGGGCGTTGCGGGGGAAAACCGATGGGAGAAGACAGGTGGGGCATCTCTTTCTCTCTCATTCGCTTCTTCTTCTTCCTCCTCCTCCTCCTCCTCCTCCTTGTCCTCCTCCTCCTCCTTGTGCTCCTCCTGTTCCGTTTCATTCCTGCGCCTCCTCCTTGTCCTCCTCCTTCTCCTCCTTCTCCTCCTTGTCCTCCTCCTTCTCCTCCTGCTCCTCCTCCTCCTCCTCCTCTCCTCCTCCTCCTTCCTCCTCCTTCTCCTTCCTCCGCATCTCTCCTCCTCCTCTCCTACTCCTCCTCCTCCCCCTCCTCCCCTCCTCCTCCTCCTCCTCGTGCCCTCCTCCTCTTTCTTTCCTTCCTCGCCCTCCGTTCCTTTTCCCCCCTTTCTCACTACTGCTCCTGCTCATCTTCTCCTCCTCCTTCCTCTCCTCCTCCTCCTCTTCCTCCTCCTCCTCCTCCTCCTCCTCCCCCTCCCTCTTCCTCCTTCCCTTTTCCTCCTCCTCCCCCTCCTCCTCCCCTCCCTCCTCCTCCTTCTCTCTCCTTTTTCCCCCCCTCCTCCCCCTCCTCCTCCTCCCTCCTCCTCCTTCTCTCCTCCCCTCCTTCTTTCCTCCTCCTACCTTCTCCTCCTCCTCCTCCTCCACCTCCTTACCTCCTCCTTGTTCCTCTCGCCTCCCCCTCCCCTCCTCATCGTGTTCCTCCCCCTCCTCCTCCCTCCTCCCTCCTCCTCCTCCTCTCCTCCTCCTCCTCCTCCGTCCCTCTTTCCCTTTCTCCTCCCCTCCTCCTCATCGTGTTCCTTTACCCCTCCTCCTCCTCCTCCTCCTCCTCCTCCTCCTCCTCCTGTCTGCAGGTGTAGGGTACCTTCCTTCTGTCTCCTCCTCATCCTCCTCGTCCTCCTCCTCGTCCTCCTCCGGAGGCTTTATCGTAAGCTGTAAGCTTCTAGGGACCCCAGAAACTTCCTGGGCCCTTCAGTTTCATCCAGGCAAAAGGGGGGAAGGAGGGAGGTAGGAGGAAAAGAGAGAGGCTTGAGGAGGGATCCAGAGGCCAAGAATCACCCGTTCACCGTTGCATGCTTGCCGCGGTGGGTGCAAACGGCGAGCAGGTCGTGGTCACACTTCTGGGGCTTATGACTGGGGTGAATTTCACGTCCTGCTGCCAACGCACTCGTGGCCCCCGCGGAGACCTACAATGGGTCCTCAGGAAGACCCGGGCACCGCGTGGCCGCAGCACGGGCGATCCGAGACAAGGGCGCCATCGAGGAGCACTTTGGGCAGTTCCATTTACAGCCTACTCTACTGAAAACTGCTGAGGCAATGGCTGCTCTGTTGGACGGCAAACAGCACTGCAGACGGCGCTGGCGTCCTCTCTTGGCGCTAGCGATCCCCGTTCCAGGGACCACCCTCCACCGCCAAGGCCAACGCCCACAGGGACACGTGCCCGCACCAGTGGCTGTCAGACAACGAGCCCGCCCTTACCCGGCCGTTGGCAGCCCACTCGTCGACAAAAGTTCCCTCATGTCCCACGGATCGGCCAAAGCATTGCCCTGAATAAGAAAGCTGGTCTGGGGCCTCGAGCCCTGAAGTGGAGGGCGAAGAGAAAGGGAGGAGAGGCAGGAGGAGGGAGACGGTCGCCCTCCCCAATTACACAATATGAATAGTACTCTCCTCTCTCCCCTGACAACGTATCCGGACCCCCTCCGCGTACTGTCATGTTACACACAGTATTCACGGGAGTTGGGATTCGCTTGGTTTTTTTCCCAAAAAAAGCTGGTCCCGCTGAAACGCTGGCGTCATTTCCGCGCTTCCGCTCGTTCCGAATCGGGCTCCCGCAACAGCGTTGGCCTCATTTCCGCGCTTCCGCTCGTTCCGAATCGTGCTCCCGCTGCAGCGCTGGCGTCATTATTTCCAGTGCCATGCCACGGCATGGTTTTCGGTCCTTCCAAGTAATCCCCAACATCTAGAACTGGCCTCCCGAAAAAACCATCGGATTACACATTCGGTGCCGATTCGTTGATTCTTTGGGCCGCAGAAGCCCTCCCCACACTTTGGGGCGTCGCCACGCCATGCTATGTCATGCTACGCGTTGATCTTCAACACCATGCTATGCCATGGCATGCTATGCCATGCTACGACATCCGATTGTGCGAATAGAGAGGAGATCTTCGCAATGGTAAGGGATGGGAGGGAGGGGTAGGACGTTAGATATGACGCGAGCGCCCCTAGCTTGTCCTCCCCCTCTCACTCCCTTGATTCGCGGTGTTGAAGTCCCAGGAATGGCGTTCTGGCACGATTCAGGCTCGCCAAGACGCAACAATCAGGTTGATCCGTGGCGTTGGAATCCCCAGAACAATGCTTCGGAATGCTTCAGAATATTCAAACGGTTGTTTTCCGACGAGGCAGCTCCCTCAATGGAGATGAACCGTTGCATGAGCCTAAGAAGAGGGAGCTTGGAGGGAGGATCTATTCCAACATCGCTGCTGACTCTTGGGTTTACACTGGTCCTCCTCTTCCTCCTGCTCCTCCTCCTCCTCCCCCGCCTCCTCCTCCTTCTCCTCCTCCTCCTCCTGCTCATCATCCTCTCCCTCCCCCTCCTCCTCCTCCTCCTCTTCCTCCTCCTCTTCTTCCTCCTCCTCTACATCTTACATCCACAGCATCATCATCAAAAACAACAGCATTATCCGCATCCTCAGCATCAGCAGCAACATCACGACCATCGTCATTTGCGAGTGGCAGCTGTGCATTGCGCGCTGTCTGGAGGAGAGGCTCGTCGTCAGTATCACCATCATCATCATCATCATCATCATCATCATCATCATCATCATCATCATCATCATCATCATCATCATCATCATCAGCATCAGCATCAGCATCATCATCATCATTACCATCATCATCGTCATCATCAGCATTATCACCATCGTCGTCATCAGCATCAGCATCATCATCACCATCATCATCATATTCAGCATCATCAACATCATCAACAACATAAGCATCATCAGCATCATCCGCCTCATCATCATCACCATATTCATCATCTACATCATCGGCATCAGCATCATCATCATCATCGCTATCAACAGCATCATAGGCATCATCAACATCATCATCGTCGCCATAATCGTCATCATGATCAGCAGCAGCATCACCAGCATGGCCATCATATCGTCATCATCAGGACCATCGTGATCGTCATCGTCGTCATCATCATCAGCATCATCATCCTCATCATCGTCATCAGCATCATCATTGTCATCATCTTCATCCTCATCAGCGGCAGCACCGCCATCAACATCATCGTCATCAACCACATCGTCATCGCCGGTATCATCAGCACCATCATCATCATCATCATCATCATCATCAGCATCATCATCATCATCATCATCATCAGCAACACCACTATCATTATCAACAGCAGCATCATCAGTTCTGTCAGTATCATTGTCATCATCGTCGTCATCATCGTCATCAGCATCATCAGCCGCAGCAGCATCAACAGCATGAGCATCAACAACATCATATGCCTCGTCGTCGTGATTTCTGGCATCATCATCACCGTCATCAGCAGAGCATCATCATCAACCTCATTAGCAGCAGCATCATCATCACCAGCATCAGCATCCTCATCATCATCGTCGTCCTCAATAACATCATCGCCATCATCATCAGCGGCATCATCATCACCATCATCCGTAATTATCATAATCATCATCAGCATCATCATCATCATCAGCATCATCATCAGCAGCAGCATCAGCATCATCATCAGCATCACCATCGTCACCAAAAGCATTATACTCATCATCGTCCTGATGCTTGTTCCCATCCCCATCCGCATCAAAATTCATCCCTCCTACCTTCCCTCCCATACCTTCCCCTCCGCCGCCCTACCCTCATCCTCTCGCCCCCACGCTCAGCCTCCTCCTCCCCCCCTTCCTCCTCTCCCCTCCTGCCTCCTGCTTTCCTCCTCCTCCTCCTCCTGCTCCTCCTCCTCCTGCTCCTCCTCCTCCTCCTCCTGCTCCTCCTCCTCCTCCTCCTCCTCCTCCTCATCGCCATCATCACCATCCTCCTCTCCTCTTCAGGTCAGAGGCGTCCAAGACGCGGGCGCCTCAAGAGGGGGGGTCATAAACCGTGGCCGCAGGCACGTGCGCGGCACACAGGGGGGCCAGGGGACGTGCTGCAGAAAGCAGCGGGGGGG